CGAACTGCCACCCTGATAGGACATCAGCATGGCCCCACAAAGGCACAGCGAACACTACAGTGGGGTTGGAAGCTGTGCTGTGGGATGCCGTTTATATTCAGAACCTGATATCAGTGTATGGTGCTGCATCCCCAGTAGCTGGAGTCCTGGCCCCTGGGATGTGCAGAAGATGCTCTCCTGGGTGACACACGGTTCACTAAATCTAAAAGCCTCTCCTTATTTGGGATCCTCATGGATCCCAGGCAACAAAATTTGGTCCTGGTTATGAGTAGGACACGGGAGGGAGGATTATTTCTGGAATGCAGGGGACTCACTGGACATCTTTTCCTTGCCTGGTGATGCCAGTAGATGGGCAATGCAGCAACCCTGGCCTGACGAGGAATGATAACCAAAGGCCAGACCTCACGGGGAAGAAGGTCTGGGTCACTTCGTCGAGGAAGCAGCCTGGGCCACAGAAGTGCTGGCTGCAGGTGAAGAGAACCGAGCCGGGTGATTAAGGAAGATGACGAAAATCACTATAGCCTGAGAACTAACTGCAGCAGTGGGCAGTATAGCCCGACCTGCTGACCCTCCTGAGGTGGATTTTCTCCCCCAGTAAAGTATGACTGGACACCATGATGAGGAATCAGGGCCAGGACACAGATCTATAGCAGTGGATCTGCCTTGCAAGGCAGGACAACAGAGGCCATCAGTGCCCATCCAGATTCCCCCAACTGAAGGCTGCTTTCTGGGAACACCTGCATCTCTGTTTGTGCTTGAGGGATTTCTTTCTGGAGCACGGCAAGCCGGAAGCCCTGGAGAGTTAATTCAGAAGAAGGCCTCGGCCAATGGCAGGCAAACAGTTGGTGGGCAAATGCCCTGTTGTGGCTGCCCCTGGCAGGGGTAGCTTGGCTGGTTGCACATGCTCCATTGCATGGCAGAGTCCCAGGGAGGCTGCCTCAGTCTCCCTCGGGGAAGTGCCCCGCAGCACACCTTTATTGGCCTCCCCTCTCCCCTCCTACTCTTTCCTGCTGTCACCTCCCAAGTGAAATGCTAGCCCTGGGTCAGCTTCTGGGGGAATCCAGTCAAGGCTGTTATTATCACAGACTAAAAACAACCTATACGTATTACAATTCAAATATATATATATTTGTTATTAGAGACAGGGTCTCACTCTGTCACCCAGGCTAGGTTGCAATTGTGAGATCCTAGCTCACTGTAGCCTGGAACTCCTGGGCTTAAGAGATCCTCCTCCTCAGCCTCCAGGGTAACTAGGACTACAGATGTGTGCCACCATGCCTGGTTATTTTTGCTGCTGTCTTTGTAGAAACGGGATCTCGCTGTGCTGCCCAGGCTAGTCCCGAACTCCTGTGCTCAAGCAGTCCTCCCATGGCATGAGCCACCACACCCAGCCTCAAATATCTATGTGCTGAATTGCACACTTTTTAGGGAAATGCATCCTGGAACACAAAAGTGATGTGGAATCTAGCATGACTCCATTGTTCTCTCCTTTGTATCAGAGGATGTGTTGTAGTGCGGCCCCTGTACGCAATCACTTGACTGTCCCCAGCATCATCAATTATAAAGAGCGAGGGGGAAACTACGAAATGTGAATCCGAGGCTTGGCAGCAGCATTTGAAAACAAATAAAGTGAGAAATCCCTGGCAGCGGCGCACCCGCTTCGCAGTGAAACCAAACCCTGTGGGTCGCAGTGACGCCGTTTCCCAGGTCAGGTGATCCTGCCATTAAGCCAGGATGTATGGGCCTTGAGAACACACAGATTTTTCCTGGTTTAGAAACTAACAAATAACACTGTATTCCAGAAACAAAAGCACTCAGAAGAGGAAAGAGACTCTTTTGTTAATGTAAAGAGTACTGGTGGTGGTGTCTGTCTTTTTTCTTACATTTCTGGTCCTAATTCCAAAACCAGCTAGCAAACATTAGTGCAGTATATGCAGAAGTTGGCAGCAAATAAAATCATTAAACCTAAAATTGCAGTGGTAGCTGTTGGAGCAATTGAATATCATTGCATAGCATTGTGTTTTCAATTCTGTCTCGGGTTTTGTTTGACCTGGAGAGAAAGAATAACTTTGAAGCATGAAATCCCTTTGGAAACAGTCTTTAGAAGTACTAGGAGAGACACAATTCCCTATTCTTAGATTTTTTTTTTTTTTCTGTTAAATCAACACCTTTTGTGTTCTGTACTGTATGGCACATCAGCGTGTGGTAAACCATAATTAGTACAGAACCTAACCCTCAAAACTACTATAATTTGCTGTATCTTAGAGATCCTTTTTACCAAAGACTAATGATTATTTGGCCTTCTGTTATTCACAGGCTCTCAACTCCATGCTTGCAGATTCCTGCCTTATTCACTGTTGTAGATACCACAGAGCTTCCTAGCCCAGTTATTCAGTACATCAGGCTGACCATGCAGGAACAGCACTCGCCACATCCTGCAAATACAGTATTATCTGTTTTCTAAAAGTGTTTCTCTCCCCTCACTAGAATATAAATGAGGAGGGATGCTGTAATGCTCATCCATGCCTTACACATAATAGATGCTCAATAAATACAAGTTGCCTCAAAAACAAAAATAAGAATACAGTACATTAAGATAGTAGCAGAGTTGGAGGAGATGCCTGTTTCCAGTTGTCTAGTTCAAAATACACTGAGTGGTCACTTAAAGACACAAAATTATCAGCAAAATTTGGTATGTACACATCTTGACAATAAACGAATGATGGAGATGTTTCACCGCATACCACCCAGCATTGCCACGGTTTGCTGGAGCCTTTTGTGTTTTAGGATCACAGGACAATTTGAAATTCTGCAGGACTGCAACAGTTTCAACTCTGTTTAGCAGTTCCTGGATTGGAGCTATTGGTTAAGGAAGCCCCTTACATCCTTTTGTTTTATCCTTCATCTTACTATGGTCGTGCTCCTAGCAAATGCCTTTAAGTGGACTTAACCATCTTCTTTTATGTTGGCTTCAGAGCTTTTTATATTCATAGCTCTGTATATCAAAAGTCCTCAAAATAGTCAAATGTCTCCAATCAGTTTTACAGCAAAACAGAGCTCTGTGGTTTTCTATTTACTTGCTATTTGCATATTTTAATAAGAAAATTGTAAATAAAGCTGGTTCTACAGCAGGGATATGGTGTTACAGTAGTGTTACTCCAGCCATATGGCCCTGCTGCCATCCAGCACAATAATGCAGATGTGTTTTGCACCTGTGTTTATATCTGGGCGTCTCTGGCAGTGGGTTGTGTCTGTAGGTGGTCCAGAAGGAAAGGAGAAATTGAGGAGAGGCACATGCTGCCAGAGATACGAGAGGCCAGGACCTGGAGAGAGGGAACAACTCGGTCCGAATGTGAAAATGTCTCTGCTTAGCAAGGACTGGGGTTCTCTCCCGGCCCTGCCAGCCCTGCCTTGAGCTGCAGAGGGCAGGAATAACCTAATTATGTGATTTTCTGTGAATAAGACTTTAGATCTCTTTATGTTCTAAACGAAGGGTTTCTAACGGACCGCATGATAGCATTTTAACTTAAATTGCTAGCTGGGAGTGGGTGGTTGATTTTTTGGGGGGAGTGGTTTATTTGGTCTTGTCTTTTGGAATTCTCTGTTTGAAGGTCTTTATTCAGTGGGAACAAGGCCAATCTGCATTTTGTCAGTGATGTCAGCAGTCATAGAAAAGACATGGGAAAAGCACCATCTTCCCGATTTCACCCACTGATGGGTGGTGTGCCGTGTAGACTGCGTGTTAGGGCAGCCGCTGGCTTGCCCCTCTGCGCCTCCGCTGTCCAGGCACAGCACCCCACCCGGAGCAGAAGCACCAGCTACAGCCGCACATCAGAGGGAGGCGCGGTGCCGGCCTCTGGCCTTTGCTGCAGGATCTGAGCTCATTGATGAAGGCTTCCCACTGCCCAGGAGCATCAGGGTTGCCTGGCATATGAAACGAGGTACAAAGCCTGTCATTACACCTCATTTCTTTTCATCTAACATGACACGAATTTTATCTGAGTTTTTCATTGCTCAGCGAGTACCTTGGTTTCACACAAACCCAATAAAATATTTTTCACTCCTTAACAGCAGGTTTCTCACCCTCCGTGTTTGGTAGGTTTCCCTTAAGACGTTACCTGAGCTGCGTTCTCCTCGCAGGCAGGCGCTATAATTTCTGAAGGTGATGGCATGCACTGGCGTGCAGGACGTCAGCTCCAAGTGCCCACCAGTTGTGTCCTGGCCACTCTCCAGGGGAGGTCTCCGGATATCTGTCCTGCCCCCTGCAGCTAGTTGCCTCCTGTGAGCTCCTCTTTGTACTCTCTGTGGTACTGAAGGACGAGGCGTACATGCAGGATTAAAGATAATTTTCGTGACATACTTTAGCCAACAGTCTGAACCTTTGTTCTTCCTGACTGAGCCCTTGTAACAGAGATGAGAGCATAGAATATAGCCAGTTAATTTGAGTATAAATTTACGTTTTCACACATGGTAAAGAAAATAATAAAAATATTTAGCAGTGAGAAACTAAAAATGAAGAAACAAAGACATCCACAGCCCTTGAAAAATCAAGAGTTGACTATAGGACTGTTGGTTTAAAAAAAAAAAAATTACATCAAAAATTTCAAACCTTACGTTCTGGATGCTGTCTGATATTGACCCTGATTGTTTCACCTCTTGAGAATTCCAGTTATCTCATTTGTAAAATAAGATGGTTGGATAGGAGAAACTCAAAAGTTCCTGTAAGCTCAAAAATCCCATCACTGCACTTTTCTTTTTCTTTCTTTCTTTTTTGTTTTTGTTTTTGTTTTTTTTTTGTGAGGGAGTCTGGCTCTGTCGCCCAGGCTGGAGTGCAATGGCGCGATCTCGGCTCACTGCAAGCTCCGCCTCCCGGGTTCAAACTATTCTCCCGCCTCAGCCTCCTGAGTAGCTGGGACTACAGGCGCCGCCACCACGCCCGGCTAGTTTTTTGTATTTTTAGTAGAGATGGATTTCACCATGTTAGCCAGGAGGGTCTCGATCTCCTGACCTCGTGATCTGCCCACTTCGGCCTCCCAGAGTGCTGGGATTACAGGCGGGAGCCACCGCACCCGGCTGCACTTTTCAATAAACAACGATTCTGCCGCAAGTCTTGGCTGAACCGTGTGGCCTTCTCTTCTGGCGACTCTATCTAGCCATCTGTGTGAACAGGACATGTGGGTGGCGGTAGTGGCACTTTTCCAAATAACTCTGTATGCCAGCAGTGGTCGTGGATCACACTAATTGTTCTGCTATTCAATTAAAGGGATTTTTTTTCTTCCAGATGCTTCATTCTTTAAATGTGTTAGCTATAGGGCAATCCATTTTAAACTGGGAACTTGGTTGCTTTCTCTGATCTTAAAGCAGATTGCTGGTACTTGTCTGTTTCTATCACTTTTTGCTCCTCTGCCCTTTCCACTTCCACACCTCTCGGCTCCGAGAACTGATAACGTTGCTTTTTAGTCTCTGGCTGGGTTATGGACATAGAAAGCCAAACCACAATAGGTTAGATGTGAAGCGTAGTGATAAAGAGGAAAACAATATGATGGTAAATATGTGGGTTGCATTTTCAATTTTGCATTTTTATTGCATTCCTATTTTTCCATTAAGTAATTCTCCCTGAGCTTGGCCACATTTTTTCTGACGCCGGATATGTGTGTTTGTTGATTTGCAGTATTGTTATGCTTTATGTATATGTTTGACAGGATGCATATTCATTCCACTAACATTCATTAGCACTCAAATGAATGCACAGACGTGAATGATAGATTTAAGCACACGTGTCTGCTTTCCTTCTGATAAACAATAGCTTTTCAGGACTGTCGACTAGTGAGGATTCTCAACAGAGCTTTATTTGAGAACAAATGGAGAATCTCTCTTCAATTACATAATTAGAATTAAATCCTAGAAAGGCACCTCAGTGGCTGGTAAACCTTTCTGCAGACTTCGTTTTGTGAAAGAAAATGCTAGTAACTGCTGCTTGTTCCTGCACATTGTTTTGTTTTGGATATGTTCAAATATAATTGTTTCTGCTGTTCAGTGGCCTCCTGTTTGCAAGCATGTATTTGTTAAAACACATTGAGAAGGAAATTTTCAGTTTTTAGGAAAATCAGTTTTGAACTAGAATTCATAGACCATGCTTTCCGTGGTGACAATGCTGGATTGCTTCACAGCACTGGTCCTCTCGCGCTGCCGAGTGGAACGATGACTAGGCACTGTGTGACGAGGCACGATGCTGATTAGTATCCAGAAAAAAAGTCCTCAACACCATGTAGCTTTCTAAGCTCTTGCTTTACATAAATATGCTGGTAACTACTGACTCTTAAGTTTTGGCAGTGATTTTGCTAGTAAACATATTTTCAGGCCAGAAACTCTACAATGTAAAGTAAGATATTGCCCCCACTCCCCAGCCAAGAAAAAAAAAAAAAAAAAGGGAATGAAATGCGTGGCTGTATCAGCCCTTGCCCCTCAAATGGGTTTTGGCATACTTTAAGAGAAATAAAATATAATTTAATTCTCAAAGAATTTAGGATGCTCTTCCAGAAAGAGACGAGTCAGCTTCCCACATCAAACAGAGGGGAGTCTTTCTCATATTTGGTCCATCTTCTGTATTTACAGAATTTTTGCATTACTTTCTTTTCTTGGTTTATAACAATTCAATAATTCTTTTCTTTAAAGCTGTCTAAGAAATGTGTGTTTCACTGATCCTAGAGGCGGTGCAATTCTGGACAGCACTTACAACGAAGGTTTATGTTCACACAAATTGTCTAGCTACTAATTCAGAGAGGTCTTCTGTGTATGGACATTGGAGTAATTTAAGCTCAACTGTTTTTCAAGTCAACAAATATTGACATTTGCCTGTTACACTCCAGGCATTGTTCTTTTTTCTTCACATTCTTTCTTGCTTTCTACAAGTTAGGCTAATCCACTATTAAAGTAGAGACACGATAACACGAATTATTATTGCAATATTAATTTTCGAAAAACAAAATAAGGAAAGCATATTTTGAATGGCGGGAGGTGTGGACAATCAGTGGAAAATCCAGGTTTGTCTTTTTATTTTTTGTGCCAGGTCTTGTTCGCTCAGTGTTTACAGTTGGGACCGATACAAGTCAGTTACCTGAGAAAATCTGTTAGAGAAAATAGCTACTGAAACTCTGAAGAATCTGTCTTTCCTGCTTATTTTTCAAGCTTACTCTAACATATTTAAATCAGCAAATTTCTAGTGAAACTGAAAAAAGGTCTGTCCTGTTGGTCAGGCTTACGTAAACACAGTTATGTAAGCAGTACTTGAGGGCAGAAATTGTCCCAGGCACAAGCTATTGTCACAACTAAGCTTTTTACAAGGCAAGGATGAATAAACTCACGACTTTAGTTGTGCCCCATAGTCTGTTAATCTTTCCATCTTTTAATGCAAACTTATTCATACTGGAAAAATATATATTATAATTCACATTATATGTGTACATTCACATACACATTATTGAGACTTCTATTGGAAATACGTAGAAATACTTTGTAGGCATTTGTAATCTTCAGGTGATAAGTATACAATTAAATACACATCATGATGACTATTTTTGTAAAATGATTATAGCTAATTATTCAAAAGTGCTTGAAATCTGTATGTACCTCCTGATTAGGAATCTAATAACTACATATTAAAATTTAAAATTATTAGAAATGTTATGTTTCACAACGTTTAATGAACCTAAATAATTTGGAATACTAACCTTATAAAACATAATTATAAAATGCAGGTAGTTTTTAATGGAATCAAGGCTTTCTTGTTTATTCAATGAAATTTCATGTTTTCTTAGCTTACAAACTAATAGGAGTATCAATTTAATTTTTACAAACCTAAGCTCCTTTACATTTTAAAGTAGAAATTAGAGTATTTCCCATTGTAGAAGCTTTTTGTGATGTGAAAACAGCATTTAGTGAAGTACTTCCACGAAGTCTTAGCAATCTGCTTATTTCAATGGGAAATAACTGAATATAAAAACATTTAGCAGTTTTGATCAGTGAACTTATGCTGACATCCTTTTGGCGTATCTATAATATATTATTAATACATTGCTAATAATATTTATAATTTAAAATAGTTTCCAATTGCTGAGGAGCACTTAGAGATGAAAACCTTCTTTCATGTATAGAAATTATGGAAGTCCCAGATGTGAAAATTGCCGTGTATTTTTGGTTACGGACACACCCCGAGTTCTCCTCAGGCCGTGGTAAGCATACGGCACAGAGATCCTAATGGCCAGTCCAGGAGTGCCCGTGTCCGCAAGCACTGAGTGGATGATGGCCCCCAGAACATTCCACAAGGCTGAAGCGAGCACTTCAGTCTGCACATGAGGGTGGCGACAGACATCAATTAGGAAACTGATGTCAATTACAAAATTCCTTTTGCGTGAAAAATTCATCTTCAGTTTATAAGGGTTGATTATTCCTCCTGTGCCTTTTTATTTCCTGAAAGTCACACTTGAATATTAAGAAGAAAGAATTTTACAAAACCAAAAATGGCTGACAGCAGGCAAGTGAGAACTATTAGTTAACTGATCAAAAACAAAAAAAAAAAAGAGTGGAAGTGGACAGAGAAGAAAACTGGCAATAAACTGATTATAACTTCCTCTGTCCCTTCTTCCTTTCTTCCTTCTAGCCCGCCGTTATATTATTTTTTAACAGAAGAAATTTTCCTGGGAAAACTGGAAGTTTTTTATTCTGAAGCAGTAACAAGTAACTTCCGTGACTTTGCCATTTTAGCTTTCACTCTTGGTGAAGCTCAAGGCAGTGGCAGATGAAGGCAGGCCTCCTGCAACTACAAGTCACTTTTCCCTGCTCAGAGGGCCTCCCACCTCAGCTATGGGCAAGGCCTACCTGGCAGGTAGCCCAAGGGAGGGCTGTGGGTCACTGCCCACCACTGTCTTCTAGCACATCCATACCATATATGTACACATGTACATATGCACACCCCACCCCCTGCATACACACCTACATTCACAGGCATGGATACGCACATGCACGTATGCAAGCTCACATGTGCACATGCACACAGCACCCCCCACAAACACACACCTACACTCAGGTACACACAGATACAGACATGCACACCCATGCCTGCACATACACATGCAAACACTCCTACATCCACATGCCCACGCTCACAGGCACATACGCACAGATGCGTACACATACCCACACACATGCACACATCCACGTCCACGTCCACACCCACACACACTATTAAGAAAAAATCAAAAACTTAAACTGAATTTGGAGGTAGCAGCTACCAATAAGAGTTGCAGTGAGCTAACTGGGGACAGGTCCCACCGGAAATCATAACGGTGGGTGTCAGGAACTAGGGGGAAGAGGCTGCAGGGGCTCCAGGCCTTTAGGATGTTTAGATTCCATTGGTCTTAGCCTTGTTTTAACCTACCTTGCATCACTCTGTCTCATCAATCATAATTTAAATATTTGTTTTCTCTACGTCTCTTTGATCTTTTCTGTAAATTGAGGTCTTCGACAGAATTTTATGTAAAAAGAATGCTGACAGCGGCATTCGAAGTTTTAAAATTCTCTCTGATTAACACATTTCTCTTTTGTGGCTGAACCACTCATCATAGGAGGATTGTTCACTAGTCCTTTGCTTTCAACAGGCCTTAAGATCATCTGTGGATTGTGTAACTGGAGAATTGTGTTTGGGAGGGTTTGGGCTTCCTGGCCACGAGGCATCTTCTCTCCCATCTTGCAGTAAGTTGACCATCTCTGCGCTGGTCGATCCACAGTCCTGGTGGTCTGAGAGGTACCTTGCTCTCTTATAGTACCTCTTTCTGCGTCTGTTGCTAGAAAGTGTTCAGAAGAACCAATGTATTTTCCCAAGAAAAAGAAATCAGAAACCTGGTGTATTGTGCCTGATGCTTTAGATAAACTAATCCAAATCAGGTGAGTTGTCTGTTGTTTACAGTTGAATGTCAAACAGAGAAAGCTGATACATAGATCCAATAACTCTGTTATCCCACATTGTACATAGACTCCAACGTTCTGTCTAAGTCGTTAAGTTTCAAGGGAAAGCAAAGATGGGAGGGTAGTTCATACTTACGCTTTCCTGTTTTGTTTTGTTTTTTTGTGTGTGTACCATTCAGCAACCTTGTCCCTCCTTGGTGTGCTCTGCAGGTGGTGGCCCCACCCTCTGTCATATAAATCCTCCTGCCTAGACTTCGCATTTTTGTGAGGCATGGTTTTGAAATTTCAGAAATTAATTTCTTTTGGGCAATGCCTAGATTCAGCTGTGAATGAGTCTGTGCACAGATTGTGAAACGTGCTCTGGCCTCGTTCGTCTCTGTTGAAAGGAAATGGCAGCCCCTTGCCATACCAGGAAAGGGTAAGTCACAAAAAGTGATTTTGCTCTTGTTTATTCTGTGACGTACATTCCTTTGAAAACATTTTAGTTTTTCAACCCCAGAAGGAAAACCATCAGCCTTGCTAAAATTTATTGTTAAGCCTAGCAAAGTGGAAATGATAGTGGAAAATATTAAAGAGGTATAATTTTTACTTTTTGAGACTTTGTACAAATAGTAAAACATGCCTTTCCCGGTATCTGTTCAGACTTATCTACAAAAGCCCAAGCAGCCAAAGGGACGGTAACAACCCAGGTGTCATTTATTTTCTTAAGATGTAATTTAATGTAACAGGACAGAAACATCCAGAGGTTCACGACCGGGAAAAAAATAATATGGCCACGAATAGTGTGATTTGCATTTAACTTTTCATTTTAGAAAGGCTAAATGAAAAGAAAAAAATGCTAAATATATTTTAATCTGCCAAGGGAATGAATGCTTTCTAGCTTGTTTTCTAAACTGCTCACAAGAGTGGAATTGCTGCAGGAACCCCCCTCTGTACTGGATTAAATATTCTGCAGGGCCATCCAAGGTTAAGTCTCTTCTTTATTTAAACTGCAACACATTTCCTATTTTTCATCCTCGGTTCTATTACTGTGTGTATATTTTTAATAAACAAACTTATTTTCCTTTATCTTTTTCTTATTTAGTTTAATATATTTTTAAACAAGTGAGCTTCAGAGAATCATTGTGAATCTCAATTGCATATGTAAAAATACTTTCATCGTCTATGAAGAGCTATAAAAACATAAAGTATTGCCATTATATGTGCAGCATATCTTATAATTCTGCATTTCAAATGCATGAGCAGTATCATGTGAAAAACCCTAATTATCTTATTTAGCTCACACGGGTACATTCAAAATAAGTACTTCAGCTTGGCAATATTGACAAAGTCCAAGCAGATTTTTTCCCCTCTTTGACACCTTTAATTTTTGGGCAAAATATGCATGGAAAAAATTCTATTTATGAATTACAGTAAGGCCTTAATAAGTTATTTCAGCCAAGAAGTCAGATACCTTTACATGTTTTGTTAAATGTAAAGATAGAATTTGATTGTTTGACAATTTAGTGCTATCACCAATTTATAAAAAGTAACTAAAAGCAAGTTTATACCATTAATTTTTTGATTAATATGTACAGATGAAGTTTCTTTTCTTTCTTAAATCGGTTGCCCACATGTGTTTTTCCAGGTTTTAGTTTCAGCTCACAGACACGGCCACCTTTTGCTCCACAGAAAGTTCTTATCATTTTCCATTTCGAGGTAAATTGATGTACAATTACCAAGCTCATCAATTACGCCAATAACAGAAATGCGTATCAACCAAGAGAAAGTAGCTCTGGAGATTAAGAAAATGACCTAGGTTCAGTCTCATTTTAAAGATAGAAAAATGGAAATGTCTTAGTCTTTCATGGACACACTTTCAGGGTATTGAATTAAAGTAATCGTCTTTGATAATTAAGTCTACTAAACGTGTACATATTTTCAACCATTCTAAATCTTTTAAAAAATATATATCGTGCAAAATGCATCGGATGTTAACAATTTATTCTCTCTGTATTAGTTTAGAAATTAAAGATGCATACGTCCAAGATGAAATCAAAAGTCAGTTTTAAGGTGTAAATTATCTAAGCCAGGTATATAAATTTAATTTTTGCCAAAGTTGTGTTTTTACATGTATCCACTGAACTAGAGCCTCCTGTGAATGTCAGGCAATAGGAAATTTATAGTGATGGTAGATTATTAGAGCGACATGGTGTAGCACCTTGAGAAAATAAAATATTTCACCGTCGACCTTCATATTCCTAACAAAAAATGCTGGTACAACATACACATTTTGAAATTAGTGTGAAACCCCAGTGCTACAGTGATGAAGCAAGCTCCTTTTTAATTTTAGTTTTTTTATATTAACCCGACCAAAATTTAGAGCCAGTCCATTTTATGATGATTTTAGACACTCGGTGTCAATTGTTCAATGGTACCAACTAACTTTTCATATCACCTCTTATTTATCGTTTGCTTTTCACAGCAACTGAGCACATCACTGTGCTTTCTCCTTTTCCCTGAAGAAGTAAACTTGCCTTTTTAGCTTCCTGAAAAAAGCAGGCGACTCTGGTGGCTTATATTTAGTTACAATTCATAAAGGCAGGACTGCGAGTCAGACCCGGGACTTTTTTCTTTTCTGTTGTGTGTTTGCGTGCTGATGGGGACTGGCTTTTCTTCTTACTGTTGTAGTTTGAAATGGAAACGCTGCACTGCTGAGAAAATACCATGAAAATATAACCCACTGCATTCCAGGAAAATAAATAAGCAAGGCCACCCAAATTTTCAATTAGTGCTCCGGCAGAATGCAGGAAATGGCAAGAGATCCGTCCAAGGCACCCTAGGCCGGGTCGTGGGTAGAGAGCAGGGACGAAGGCTGGGAGGGGACACAGGCGCAGTGTGAAGATGGCCCGTCTCCAAGGAAAACTGCGTGCTAATAGGCTGGGCTGGCTTCCTGGATCAGCCCGGCTGGGCTGTCCGTTCTGACTGAGGGTGCAGCTGTGCTTCGTTCGGGGCAGGGTGCTGCCTGGTGAAGTGACACTCGAGAGTTCCAGGGGCACTTCCTATCTTACACGATAAGCTTAACCAACGTTCTCCATAACCCCCTCCCTGCCATGGGAAGCGTCAGCCTCCTGAAACAGCAGTATGCTGGTCCATTGTAAAAAGGATCAAAAGCTTTTGATTTAAAGCGTTAGGCCTAAGAATCGCTGTTTCCTGCTTGGTGGGCATGCCTTGCTAACATGCCCCAGCCGACCGGGGAAGCCACTGGCCATAAGGGAGAGAGGCACAGGGATGTCTCCCCTCCTCAGAGCGAATGTCAGGGAAGAAGCCAGGTCTTCCGAGGGGCTGACAAGGCCAGGCGTACAGGCTCCTTCCCTCCATCGTGTTTCTCTGCAATGTTCAAATCACTGGTGTGATGGCAGCACTTGAAAGCCGAAAAAGGAAAGATGAAAACAAAGGATTCTTCAGGGAACGTGTATACAGACTCCTGCTTCCCCTCACTTGCTTTCTGTTTCACTTCTCAGATCGTCACGACAGCGTCTGCAGCTTTCCAGCTCATCAGGGTGAACTTAAGACGAGGGGACAATGAGGTTGGGTGTTTCGGCAGCACGGTGGTGTCCCAGCTTACAAAACAGACAACTATGATTATTTGGGATACATTTTATCTGTTGTGAGCCTAAACCTTTTTTACTTCTAAAACCTTCAGGTTGCATTGGTAAACAAGAAGTAAATATACACATTCTATTTATTCTTAGAACCAAGAAATGAACTAATTGAGTAGCGAGTGTGGACCACAGTTGCAAAGGAAGGAAACTCACAAGCGAGCTCTCCAAGCTGTGATTATGTGGGCAGGAAGAATGGCCTGGGTAAAGAGAAGATGAAGAGCCATCACTCCAACCAAACAGCAAATACGAAATTCAAATTATCCTTTGTAATTTTTCAGTTAGCAGTGCTGTGTATCTGTGGAAATCATGGGAGAGATTTAAAAAAATTCTTATCACCTCACAAAGGTAGAATGAATGGGAACAAAAGCGCTAACTGTATATTTCTTCTTAGCCAGCTTCTTCCAGTTGAGCACATTTTCTTGGCAAATCGACTATTTTGTTAGGTTAAAAAGGCTGTCGTTTCCTTTTCAGAGTAAAATCAGGAATTTCATTTTTGTACAATACTACAGCATTTCCTATCATTGAATTCTAATGATTTGAGAGTGTGTTTTTTGTCTAGGTTTCAAATACAAAGCAAGGAACAGAAAAAAAAAAAAAAACTCTTTCCATTTGCAGTAGTTTCAAAATACACATGGCTTGAGATTTTGTAAGTTAAGGAATTTCCAGCCACAGAGAAATCAAGAACTGTGACCAATCCCAGGGCAGCTCTGGGAGGAACAGCCTGTGGAGCGTGGGCAGCCGTGGCCTTCCAGCCTGGCCCCTCTGGCCCTCAGGTGCCGCTCTCTGCTTCTCTTCTTCTGTCTTTTCACCACCATACCTGCAGCTCTTGGCGTTTGTTAGGACCTTCCATCCATCCAGCGGCTTCCAGAAAATTATCTAATGAATTCATACCCATGTAAGTTATTCATGGGGTTTAACTGATTTATTCAGCAAATGTGCAGATGTTTCCAAGCACCCTACTTGTTGAGGTCTCTGAGAAATATAGAAATGATGCTGGCACTTGATAAAATACCAAAATAAATCACCACCCTGCAAGGCTTTGGACTCGGTGTCAGAACTGGAAAGGATCTTGACACCACACAGACCAAACCTCTGATTTCATAGATGAGAACGTTAAGGCCTAGAACCAGCCAATGACATGAGCAGATTTCCACTAAAACTTCATAGAAATCTGCTGGTCTCTCCGGTGCTCTTTCTGGATTGCGTCAATATCCAAATCTTTCTCACATGTTGTGGTAGATGAAATTGCTGTTAAAATATTCACTGCCCCTCTGACAGGCTTCTCCCACTGAGAGAATGACACACCCTCATCCCACTAACGTCAGCCTTGGCCCTGACTTGCTTTGAGAGTGGAATGAGAGCAGAAGTGACCTGTGCCGTGGTGCAACAGAAGCTATCTGCCTTTTTTTTTTTTTTCCTTCCAGGGCTTCCACGTTCATCTGAATAAAGACTGCTTCTTCAGCCACAGCTAAGATGCCTGTAATAGGAGTGAGAGCCGCCTCTGTTGCTGGAAGCCCCTGGGATTTCAGAGCTGCTTGTAACTGCAGCTTAACACAGCCTCAGCAGACCGATACGTCGTCGTGTCGCCAAAACAGAGCAGGTATTGTTCCGTTCTGTGCAGTTTCACCTTACTTAGGACCCTCATGTGCACTGGGATCCTAGTTTGGGTTCATGGACGGAAGACGCCCGTGTGCCGTGTGCCAGCGCTCCGTGGATGGACTGGTCTTTTCCCAGGCCGGGTGCGGACAGAGAAGGGCACACCTGGAAAGCCACGGGCCCTGCTGTCCTGCCGTGGCCGGGGGTACCCACGCCTTGGCCTTGAGGGGCTTTCATTTGAAATTCAGGGCCCCAACTTAGCTGTCCAGGTGGGAGAGACTCTCCAGAAAAAAAGGATGCAGATGTGCTTTCTCTCTTTCTATTTTTGGTAACTTCAGATAGCCTCAACCTGAGCCATGTGTTCCTAAGGAAAAAATCAGAACACGTAGCCATGACATAGGCCAGAAGGGCACGTACTTATGAGAAAGCAGGCCCAGGGCATGCAGAGCTTATCTGGGGAGGCGGCTTTTCTACTGGACTTTGAAGAATGAATAAGAGTTTGACTTTCAGAGATAGCGGGAAACAGCCGTTTGTGGTAAAAGCTCATTGTGATCAGAGACATTAGAACAGAAAGGCCTGGGATGTTTCAGAAAGTTGGTAGTGCAGTTTTTATCACTTCTTACAGGAACATGTTCCTCTTAACAGCAGAAAAAAGCCTTAACCCAAAGAATTTAATGCTAACTATCTAATTATGTTTACTAGGTTAGGCCAGGTATTTTGTTTTCTGTTTTTGTTTTATGAAGGAGAGGAGGTTGCTCTGGGTCACCACACCTGTGTCTTCCTAGTCTTCGATGGCTTGTAGCATTTTACGGATACGTTGGCACTAATCGTGTGTAAGGAAAACTCATCCACGTTCGTCTGTGTTCTCTGTCCTGGACACTGAGCTACTCAAAGGCAGGGTGAGGGTCTTGCTGAACTGTTACCCTGAAGCTGAGCACAGTTCCTGACACAAACGGGAATGCAACAAGTGTTTATTGAGGAATAAATCAATAAATGTGGCCAGCCTGCCTCAATCTTAAAATGTAGAAAATATGCCCGTTTTCCGAAATTAAGGAATTACATGCCTGTCTTCAACATGTAGAAAAATCAAAATCATCATCATGATTCACCCAAAATGTGTAATGGCCTCCCCTGAACAGCGAGTCAAATGTTTTCCTTTGGAAGAGGGTTCACAGCTGTGCTGTGCATCTTCCTGTTTTATTTGTGACTGTGGGTGCCTTTGCAGATCCATTTGTGACTAAATTCACAAAAATTTAGTCACAAAAAAATGAGAAGAAGCAACATGTAATTATCCTTTGAAATTGATTTGCAAACCCTTATTTCAGCTCAGTTTTAAAATGATATTCACAATAATGTGAATGTGTCTTCCCGCCCCAGCTCCTTCTACGGTCTGTGCATGTTTCTGAATCGTATGGCTGAGCTTTAAACCTCAGAAACCAGGGGCAGCTGTCCGTGGACAGCGTGCTTTTCTGGAAGGATCTCTCCACTGGACCACTTACAGCTGGTAGGAATTACCTGAGCCACGGTGGTGGAAAAACCCACATCGGTCAGGATGCTATGACTAATATAGTCTAATACAGCTTTTAAAAAGAGGTAATTAATTTATAAGCACAAAATGGCCAGAATGATTTATAGAAATAAAATAAATAGATGCTGCATATAAAAAGTATCTATTGTCGACGTCGTCACTGGAGGCAGTGTAGACATGCGTAAACAGATGGAAAAATGGGGCTGTGGATTAGCTACTAGTTCTGCCCTCTATTGCCTTGGGAAAATTAGCCACTCTAAGCTTCAGTTTTTAAGGTGCTTGATGGAGATAATGTTTTCTACTCGTCTGCAACGTGGTGCATGGCACAAGCAGGTACCTTAAATATTGGTTTCCTTTCCTTTTTCCACCATAAATAAGTATTTATTATGTGCTAGAAGAAATTATTCTTCATGACGATGAGTTAATTATTTTTTATTGACTTGGCTTTTATTTGGTTTTTGACGATATTTTAAGTTGTTACATAATCAGTTGCCCTTGGTCATGACTGTATTTGGTAAATACAAAATAGTTACCGTTCCTTCGGCGAGCAGCGCAGTCGGCTCCGTGCTCAGTTCGCTGGCACGATGCTCACCCAGGGCTTTCCTCTTTCCTTCCCAGCCCTTGAATCTCCTCCCTCCCACCATCCTCCTAATGAAACACAGTCCGAAACCATAGCCTGTTTAGAGGTTGTGGCACATGGCCATCTTCAATATAGCAGTCCACTCTGAATTTAAATTTGTCACCATTTTCCTTAGAGGGAATGAGAAGGAAAATGAATTTAATTTAGTATAAAAAATAAACATTTCTGGGCACTGGAAACGTCTGTGGTGTTTTAAGAGCTGTTATCATTAATCAGTCAAGCATGTTTACCCAGACCCAGGATTGCTTATGAAACTGAACCGCACGCCCTGGAGCCCTTCAATGAGAGATGGCCACCAAAAGCTGAGGCAGAGAGTGCGTGTTCCCGGTCACTATCACAGGCCCCAGCTGCTCACGGGGCTGGCGTCTTTCAGAGCATGCTCCTCATGGCTGAAAGGAGGTGACACAAAGCAGTAGTTGGAAGTATTGGAAAGCGCTGTGTGTCCTATTGTTACCTTGCGGCTCTCCAGTTCTGGCTCTAGTATTTTCTTGTGGTTGTGCTTTTAATAGTTTATCCTGTTATAATGTTCAAAGGCAACATCGTCTGCATGAATTCTTTTTATGCCAGTTGTAAAACAGCTGTGATAATTATTATCATTAGGTAATTCTCACCACAGAAAAGGGAGCATGGCATCTGCCTGGCGGGGAAGGTTTTTTAGGAGCCGACGCAGCCAGGAGGTGGGCAGGCAGCACTCGCAGTCTGCGCTGGAATGAGTGGAGTCTGGGTGGGGAGAGCCGGTGCACATGTCACCTGAGTGTGCGCCTCCACTGCCCACGAGACGCTTCCTTTAGAAACGAAGGCAGAAAGGAAGCCCAACATAGAAAACGTGAAACCAGAAAACAGCAGATTCATTCATTTAATACATGTGGATCGAGCTCTAATTACGTGCTTGACGCAGGTCTAGGCTCTACTGAGTCACCTGAAACGAGGCAGCACTCTTCCCTGCCCAGGTAGCACAGGCGTTCCGGAGGGAGAGAGCGATAATGAGTACACGCATAGTTAATATGACGCCCGATGGGGGAGCATTCCACTGAGAAAGCAGAGAGCAAGAGGAGGAGACAAAGGCTCACTGGAGGGCAGGGGGCCTACTTCACATGGAGGTCGTGGGAAACATCTGAGGGAGATGACATTTGGGAAGAGACCTAATGAAGTGAGGAAATCGTGAGAATTTAGGGAAGGAGGGAAGTGTTCTAAGTGGAAAGGACCAGCAAGAGCAAAGGCCCCGAGGCATCCATGAATGTGATCAGGAAGAGCAAAGTGGTCCTCCAGGCAATCACGGGAACAGAGGGCAAGAGCAGTGGGGTGGAGGTGGATGAGCTATACAGGAAGCAGGTCAGGCCGGATCCCACAGGCTGCACATGAGGAGTTTGCGTGGAATTCTGGGATTGTGGTGGGCAGGGGAGAAGATGATGATTTGTGTGTATAGAGATCGGCTATAGGGTTGCAAGAGTCTGAAACAGGGAGAAGAATTCACAGGTGTTTGCATTAGCCTAGGCCTGCAACAGTGATGGCTCGGAAAGGAGTGGAGGCAGATGTGAGGAGCAGGTGCATTTGAGCTGTGCTTTGCAGGTAGAACTGGGGACCTTGCTGATGGAGTGAATATGGGGAGGGTGAGAAAAAAGATAAACTATTATAGCATAGTGCTTACGAGCAAAGACTAACCCTAACCCTAGCGTTAGGAGATGATAAGAGCCTACGTTGTTCAAGTCCTGTCTTTGCTCCTTACTCGCTGTGTAAATTTGGGCAAGGTGTTTAACCTGTCTATGCTCGTCTGTCAAATGGGGATGATCATAGTATCTCCTTCAACTGGGATTGTGAGTGTGCACGGGACACACACACACACACACACACACACGTGTTTAGAACAGAATCTGGCCTCCAATAAGAACATATGTATTAGTAATTATTATTATTGGTGAATTAAGCAATTAGGTGAATTTGGTGACATTTACTGAGACGGAGAAGACTGGAGGAGGAGTGAATTTTGGGGAAAATTTTAGCAATTCTGTTTTCGAAGTGTTCAGTTTACAGTGTTTATCAGATTTATACACAGAGGTGTTGAGCTGGACATAGGAATCTGAAGGTCCCGGGGATAAAGGAACTGGAAATATAGATGTGATCTTTAAAGCATGACTCCTGAAAGAGAGGAACATTGAGAGCTTGGGGAAAGTAGGAGGAGTCAGCAAAGGGAGTTAACAGAGAGGGCCAACAATGTTGGAGGGAATAAAGTATTCATTTTCTAGGAGAAATAGTGCTTCAAGAAAGAGGCAAGGTCAACTCACAAAGTCCAGTCAAGTTTGGAGGCTTGGCCATGGGTGCTGCAACTTGTACAAGAGGGCGTTCGGTGTTGTGTGAGGTCAGAAGCCTTTGCGGAGTGGGCGTGGGGAGCAGGCAGGTGAGAAGTGCAGATGGTGTATGGTCAGAAGCCTTTGCGGAGTGGGCGTGGAGAGCAGGCAGGTGAGAAAGTGCAGATGGTGTATTGGAAAGGCAGCCACCAGGGTGCCTCCGCCTGGATGCGTGCAAGCGTGAGCTTTCCAAACCCTTCATTTTCATGTTGGCACTGCGGTAAGGCCCGTGGTTTACTTGTTCCCTCCCTGTTCTTTCAGGAAGGAATCAGAGTCAGCAGTGATGGTTCTGTTGGTTAAAACTAGTGACACCGACTGGCACACTCACCTGAATGGTGCACGAGTTGGCACAAACGGATTTGTGGATGTGATTTGGAAATGGAGAGATTCTGTGTCCTAAAACCAATGTACAGATGGTGACCTCCAGGTAATAGAAAGTTTTCCCGCCTCTAAAATGATCCTATGTGTTTAACATGAACGTGCACAATAAATACATCTGCAGTAGCAATGAAAAGCAATCAGACAAATCGTGTAATTTGGAACTCTTCACTAATGCTTCTTGTTTTTTTGTTTTGTTTTGTTTGAGACAGAGTTTCACTCTTGTTGCCCAGGCTGGAGTGCAATGGCATGATCTCAGCTCACTGCAACCTCCGCCTCCTGGGTTCAAGCGATTGTCCTGTCTCAGCCTCCTGAGTAGCTGGGATTACAGGCACCCGCCACTGTGCCCAGCTAACTTTTTGTATTTTTAATAGAGATGGGGTTTCACCACGTTGGCCAGGTTGGTCTCGAACTCCTGACCTCAGGTGATCTGCCTGCCTCGGCCTCCCAAAGTGCTGGGGTTACAGATGTGAGCTACCATGCTCGGCCCACTAATGCTTCTTAACCTGTCCCTTCCTTTATGGACTTAATTATGTCTCCCCAACATTCACATGTTGAAGTGAGTCTTTGTGGAGATGGGACCTATAAATAGGTAACCGAGGTTAAATGAGGTTGGAAGGGTACGGCCTTGATCCAACAGGACTGATGTCGTTATAAGAAGAGAGAGAGGCATGAGGGCCATGGGAGGACACAGCAAGGGGTGCCATCTGCAAGACAAGGAGAGGTCTCAGAAGAAACTAGGCGTGCCTACCTTGATCTCGATCTCTGACTTGCAGCCTCTGGAACTGAAAAACGTGTCGTAGCCAACCTGTCTTTGGTACTTTGTCACAGCAGCTGGAGCTGACTAATACACTTCACATCACATACCTATTTGAATGATGTGACCTCCATGACACCTCTATAATTTCTTCCCTCTCCAGCAACCCCACTGCTAGTGCCCTCATTCAGGCGCTCACTACCTTCTTCCTGCACCGTGACAAAAGTCTTCATACTGGTTTCATGTCTGCCCCAATCAGCCCGCTCCCTACACTCTTTCCAAGTCGTCTGTCTTAGGACCAGAGCCAGGAATAGGATTAACTGGAGTCAGAGCTTCCCTCTAAGGCACTTCACCTGTTGGAGAACTGGAGAAAATAGGAAGAGGATGCTCACTGTGGGTGCAGGTTCTTAAACACCACAGCAGTATTGAAAGACAGAAACAAGCTGTAAACCCAGAGACAGGCTGGGAAGAGTGAGCCCCGGCAGCCACAGTGGCCATTTGGCACAGGGAGTGGAATTTATTCATTCATTGATTTGCTCAATAATGTTGCATAAGCACAAATATGTCTCTGACTGTGTTGAGCTTCTATCCCGGTGGGTGGAGACACTTAACACAGGCACAAGTCAATGAGATGATTTAGGATAGAGAGGGGTGCTATGAAGATTCTGAAAAGGGCAGTGGGATGGTGGGAAGGGGTGCTTCTGGTAGCACCATCAGATAAGTGCACAGAGGAAGTGACAGGACTCCTGTCCTGTCAGATGAGGACTCCTCTCCTGAAAGATGAGGGGGAGCTGGCCATGCAGGGGAATAACATCCCGTGTAGAGGAAACTGCTGCTGCAAAAGTGGATAAGATGGACAGAGCCTACAGGCAGGGTCAGAGGGATTTCAGGTGTAGTGGACTAAGAAGCACTAGATATAGCATCTTCTTGGCCATGGGAGGTGCGTTTTGTCCTAATTAGACTGGTGGCCTCTGGGGAATTGTGAACTGGGAGATGATGAGATTTTATCTCTATTTTAAGGTGGTCCTGGCTGCTGAGGGTGGAGGTGTGGCTGCTACACTGGGGTGTCAGCGGTAGGAATCGGCAGGAGATGGAAGGCGCAGAGTTTATTTGGGCAGTTAAGCTGCTGGGATTTGCTGTTAGGTGGAAGATGTTTGTGAGTGAAAGAGAGGCCTTAAGTGTTGAGGACAGTGGTACCATGAACTGAGAGAAGCAGGTTTGGGTGTGTCGTTTTAGAGCTACAGTTTAGCCTGGATGGGTTGCAGATACAGTCGTGCGTTACCTCGTGATGGGGACATACTCCAGGAAATTCATCATGCACAGGGTTTGTTGTTGTGTGAACATCAGAGTGAACTTTCACAAACCTGACGCAGCCCTAGCTTGCCCAGCCTGCTGACTGCAGCCGCTCGTGGCCCAGGATGGTTTTGAATGCAAGCCCAACACACATTTGTAAACTTTCTTAACACATTATTTTTTTTACGATTTTTTTTTTAGCTCTCCAGCTATCATTCGTGTTCATGTATTTCATGTAGGACCCAAGACAATTCCTCCAGTGTGGCCCAGGGAAGCCGAAAGATCGGACATTCTAGTGCAGCCTATTGCTTCTGGGCTGCAAACCTGCACAGCATGTGCAATTGCGACACAATGGTATTTGTGTATCTTGACATAGAAAGGCAGAGTGGAAATATGGTATCTTGTTATCTTATGGGCCCCCATCATAGATGCAGTCTATCATTGACTAAAGTTTTGTTATGTGTCACATGATGTTAGCACTAGATGTTACAGAAAGGGAGATCGGCCAGTGCGTTCACAGATACCACTTAGGAAGTAAGAAAAGGGCCCAGATGGAGCACTGGATTTGGCCGGAGGAAAGTCGCTGGTGCTTTTGAAAAGCGCCATTTTCGCTGAGCCATGAAGATGAAAACTGCTTTCACCAGAGCATGTTCAAGAGAGAAGGTGAGGCCAGAGGTGGAAAGTTTTGTGGAGAAGAGTAGAGACGTGGGGGTAGGGAATCTCCAAGGGATGTGGGGTGAAAAAAGGAGTTATTTATGCTGAACTAGAGCAAGGCTCGCTTATCTCCTGCCAGGAATGAAGCCTTCCAACTGGTGGTGCAGGAGACGGGGCCTGTCAGAAGAGCTGGGCTGTCCCATGGCTGGGTGAGGTGGGGCACGGAGCACACGTGATAGTGCTGAAAAAGCTAAAGCCGGGGAATGGAGGTTTTCTCCATTAGAAGAAATTGTTCTCTTAATGATATCGGGAGGAGTTTTCCTCCTAATATCACTATCTGATACTTTTATCTTTTATGCTATGAATATTAAATGCCGTTTGACTTTGATGGTACTATATAAACATGAGGTATAATGCAAGTACTAACATTATAATTGTAATTTTAAAGAATAATTTAATGAATGTAATGACTATTCAAATATGGTGCTAAAAATTTACCACAAAGTAACAGCCTTTCACTATATTTATAGCAGATTGAGAAAAATGTCCCTTTTGGGGAGAATAGCAATAGACCGAGGTTTGGGTTTGAAAATCAGCGTCCATTTCCACTGCAGACTTTGGAAATGACCCTCTGCTTATGAGCTCCAAGCACCCACTAGGGGGCGCGTACAAAGGCCTTTCCAGGCGCGCAAAGGAAGCTCCAGAGCCCTTTCCTCAGGAGGCCGGCCTGAAACCAAACGTCAACAGTTTTGCTTCATAACAATGATTACTTACTTGTTGCTATTTCCTAGGCAGCGAATTTAAGGGTAATGATCAGAAAGCTAAAGTTAGACAACTGAAGTTTTCTCCTTACTTGAACATTTCTTTTGTAAAAGCACATCTGTTAAAAAAAAAAGATGAATATTGTTAAGCTTTAGCAGAGGCGTATAAGTTCCTGAAGTCTTTTGAGGTGAAAAATGAAATCAAAATGCAAAATGCAATAATGATGTATTCTGAAAGAAACTCCTCTTTGGTATTCTGCTATCAAGCAGCCTTAGTGGGAAGTGAATATGTAGAATCCGACTGCCATTTCTCTATGGAAAAAAAGCCAACAAGGTCTTTCCTTTCTTACCGAGTGCATTCCCTGATTTTAAACATTCAATAAGTTCCAAGCCAAGAAATGCATTTTTCTTTCTTTTGATGATTTTCTGTGGTTCCTTAGGATGGTTTGTAGAATATATTGTGGCTCTGTTGACCTCTGCAGGCAGTTTCCAGATCTTCGTGGTTTCCTCTACAGCTGTGGGTATTTCTCTTGTGAAACCACAGGTCAGTTCAGAACCACAGAACTTATCCTGACAATTAGAATTTTAGCCACTGTCCTGTGGGATTTTCAGAGCTACAAGGACTCCATACTTTCAATCCAGATCCTTAAATTAGAACCATCTGATGCCTGAAACATTCATGGATTATCCAGGGATCTGAGGTCAACCTTTCTCAGTTTTTTATCGAAAGTTAGCATGTGCCCCATCTCCTACATGTCCCCACAAATACCCTCCCTAGAATGCAAGATCATGAGCATTAGGATTTGGCCTTCCTATGTGTTCTTGTGCCTGCTCCGTTGCCCAGTACCTTGCCTTTGTAGCATGGCTGAGTCCTTCCTTAGGGTCTCATTTAGAGCAGTGGGCTTCAAACGTTAGATTGCATTAGAATCTGCTAGAGGGCTCAATAAAACACGATTTCTGGGCCCCATCCCAGAGTTTCTGATTCATAAAGTCTGGGGAGTGGAAGAAAATCTGTATTCTAACAAGTTTCCAGGTGATGCTCTTGATGTGAGAACTAAGTTTTGAGTCCCACAGGGTTTAGAACATGATGAGTTCCATCAGAAAGAAGAAAAGGACATGCCTGATGCTGCAGAGTTCAGTTTAGACTGAGGGAGCGAACACGGCTAGTCTTCAGTGGAAAGATGACCCTCGATAAGGGCATCACTGATCTTTGAGCCACGTGAAACGTGTAACGCCTGTCAATTGAATGGGACCTATGGGCATGGAAAGAGGATGGTATGGCTTCAGACCCCACTTTTCCACTGAAACTCCTAATCAGTAGCTTCTGAATCTCCCTATCCATGAGTATGGACATTTTTTCCATTTGTCTGTGTCCTCCCCGGTTTCTTTGAAGAGTGCTTTGCATTCTTATTGCAGGGATCTTTCACCTCCCTGATTGGCTGTGTTCTTAGGTATTTTATTCTTTTTGTGGCAGTTGTGAATGGTATTGCCTTCCTGATTTGGCTCTGAGCTTGGCTGTTGGTGTACAGAAATGCTACTGATTTTTGTCCATTGGTTTTGTATACTGAAACTTTGCTGAAGTTG